TAAAATTATCAGAATATTACTGAGCAATGTTTACTCTCTGAACTTGATTTTCTCCACCATAAATAAAACATTACATAAGAAATTCTGTGAATGGAACAATCTTCAGAACAATCAAACGGTTAATAAAGAAGTAGAAAGGAAACAAATTTTCTTCACACAGTGCCTTTTATTGCTGGTGCCTCAGAGAGAATCAAAAACTTTTTAAAGAAGACAAACATTATTAAAATAGCATACAAAGGTGTCAATACATTAAGCAATTATATTAGAGTACAGAAAGACAAACTTCCACAGATGATGAACACTGATGTAGTTTATAAGGTTGAATGCAGGGACTGTGATGCATCATACGTAGGTCAAACGGGAAGGACCCTCAAAACCAGAATTAATGAACATAGAAACCATATCAATCGAAATATAGACCAAAGATCGGTCATCACAGAACATCGATTAGAACATACACACGATTTTGACTGGGACAATATTAAGATTCTAGATCAAGAACAAATATTAAATAAAAGACTCATATCGGAAATGATTTTCATACGCAAACAAAAAAATGGTTTAAATATCCAATCAGACACGGAGTCATTAACTAAAGCATATGACTTCTTATTTGAAAATAACTGAGATTTCCTTTCTTCAATATTTCTATTATTTGCGACTTGGCTGGTGATTTGTACTTGACTTTATTTGTTTTGATCTTAACGCTAGTATAGATAACACGTACATTCTATTAGCTTAACGAATATCATGTAAGTTTTTCTTCTGTTCATTTTAATCTATTATATTATTTATCTACATTCTATTTTTAATATTTAATGTAATTAGTGCGTCGGGAAACTCAATGAGTTCATACATTAACATTGAAAAGGATCCGAAACTAGATCGAAACATATGTACAAGACATTGGAATGAATAAATCTTATTTCACATCGATATCCTGTGGATATTTAGCTCCAAAAGGCATCAACTTAATGACAGAAGATTCATCTGTAATGAGCTTATCCACAACTAATTTCGATTTCATATTAAAATATATTAATATTTTTATATAATTATATATAATTTTATATAATTATATATGAAACATTTTTTCCCTGGAAGTGAAGACAGACGGATAAAGTAATCATTTTATTAATTTTTATGTAGGTTGCTCTATTTATATGACCATCACTGTATGTCAAGATCAGAAAGAAGTATCATAACGTAAAATTTTGTCAAATATTAATAATCTGATGTTAATGAGAATCTTAAACTTGCGAATAATTTATTATAATATATTGATATATTCTATCGAATAATATATTACGAAAAATATTGCCTCAGTGGATTCGTGAACCTGGATTTCCCATATATATTCCATGCGGACGTTCTCACCTTTGACCATCGAGGCTTCAGCAATATTTGTCACAATAAAATATAAATCAATAACTATAGTGAAAGAATGTCATTTTTTAAGGAGACGTATGCATAAACAATTACAAATCGTTTAATTGACTTTTTGCTTTACCAAGAAAACATTCATAAAAGAATGTGGAACAAAATCTTTTTTTTAAGTTTTTTTTTCGATAAAACTAATATATATATATATTTATTAGTTTTATCGAAAGTGGAAAGATTTCTAAAACATGACCAAATAATCTTTTTTAAATTGCCTTTTCGGCAAAATGAAAAAAAAAATATATATATAGATATTTCTTCATTTTTAGAAATCTTTCCGCTTTGTCAAAAAGATGACCTGAAAAAAATATCTTAAAATAATGCTTGTATGAATATAAATTTAAAGTTAATAAAAGAGGCACTTGTGAGCTCAACTGAGTTTCATCAAAAGAAATTGAAAAGAATAAAGGCAATAGGAGTCAGACGCAGAAGACGTCGCGCAAATAATACACCCATAAAGCGTAAAACTTCTTTATTCTGCTAAACACGCTTACATGAGTGTTCATATTTTCTGTGAATTTGGAATCAAAATAACATCTCTTTTACATAATATAACGCAAGCAGGGATCACATTGTCTTGATGTAGTGTGCAGTGTGTAAAAAATCGATGTGATAAAAACAATAATAAATTTAGCAAATTATTCATATTAGGTAGAAGAAAGGTCAACAATATGTAAATATCAATTGCGAAATTAATTGAGATTTTTTGGATCTTTTTCTTACCTCATCAATATGTACGACATATTAACATTTACAAAAAAGATGGTCATTTTTCAAGTTTATTATAATTGTATACGCGGCATATAAATTATTCCGTACTTTTTTCACTTTTATTAATAAATTACATTTAATATTAGAGTTTACGTTACTCAGACAGCACAGAATATTTATGATAAATATTTATTAATATTCATTTTTTTAAATGTTATATAGATATTTCATACATATTTTACGTAAAGCTTTATTCAAAATATTATTAAAATATAGATTAAATATTTTATGCAATATTTATAATAAATATAAATAAATATTTCTAATAAGTATTTTTTACTTGGATTATCATCTAATTAAGTATTTTCATAATATTTACTATAACATTCATAATAAATATTTCATCATATTTATAATAAATGTTTATGATCTGTGCAATCTAAGACCACAAAAATGTTCACAAAATATTGAAAATAAATCATATAAATATTTATAAATATTTTGTAAATATTTTGTAAATATTGTGTGCTGTCTGGGTATATATATTAACATATAGTTGCGTAATTCTATTCACACAGAGTTATGTTATACATGTACTATATTAATCTTAGAAACAAATACGCGCATTTATCGATAAAAGCGAGGTATAGAAATGGATCTACTCATATAGCACAAAATATTGGAAATGTTAAAAAAAAATTTTTTTTAATATTGTTACAATCATTTTAAAAAAAGTTTTAACAATATTTATATTTTTGTATTGCTTGACATCTGCAATTGTATGGAAACTGCTGTTTTAATGATCCACAAATCCCTAATTGTTAATGGATGAGTAATTTCCGGTCAATCGATATTGTCAAAAAGATGACTCACATATAATTAAAATATATTTCTTTCGTAAATGGATCTAAAAATTTACAGTTTTTACTAATTTTTATATATGCAAAATGCAGGGCTGGGTAAAATACCTTTCGAATTCCATTTAAAATACTAATTGTAAAATACTTTTAAAAAATGTATAATATTTAAAATGCAAAATGCAAAATAGGTTTTTCGAATCCATTTTAAATGTAAAATGGATATAAATAGGTATTCTTTAAATGGTTTTCGAATGCAAAAATGGTTTTTCTTGCCACAGCGGAAAAAAATTTTTACGAAAAAGTACAGAACAACTATATAGATTGAGATAAGATCTTAGAAATTCTTAATTTTTCGTAGATATTCGTAGTGAGACATAAAGTGAGATTTGTTTGTCTCAAAAATCCCTAGTTTTTCGTAAATATTCGTATGTAAGACGTAAAATGGCGTTGTTTGTGGGCGGAGGATTTTTTAGTTTTTCAAATTAAATTGTATAAAAGTATTTTACGTTTGAAATCCATTTTCAATGTAATTCGAAGCCCTGACTACAATATTATAAATAAAGTATTTCTCACGGGAATATTTAAAATTTTTTAATATTATAATTTGGAAACGGGACCGTTTACTTGAATAAATCAAATTAATATGAAAAGCACCGGTTACGATCAAAATTAGATGTTAAGAGTAATATACATTTTTAGAAATGTATATAGTATTTTACATAATGCAGGAACATTCATTTTTTATTAAGAGATATTTAATCAATATTTATGGACTATTTGGAATTAATTTTCTCTTTACAGTTTAATTTGTAGTTTATTTGAATATCCATAAAAATCTTCGGTTAATCATGGGACTTAGTTCTTTTTATATGTCAATGATTCTAGGGAAAATTTGTGAAAACATAGAAAAACCATTTATCTATTTTATGAATGGTTAAATGATAGACAAGATTCCATTTCAAATGTAAAATGAAAATGGTTTTCTAAAAACCATTTAAAATGGAAAGTGTAAAATGCTATTTCCATTTTAAATACATATTTAAAATGGAACTATTTTAAATATTATCCAGCCCTGGCAAAATATGATTTTCATTAAAAACAGCAATTATTAATAGTCTGCACACTCAATCGACATCCAATAGTTTTTCTTTCCTAAAAAATCCACAAAGTCAAGAAAAAGTCAAAATGATTTTACTTTGACATTATTATGAGCAGTTAACTATCGTCATTGTAATATCGATTTAAGATCTACTTTTTCCATTATTAAGGTACTTTTTCATGCTGACGCTCGACGCTTATTTTCGGCGTTAAAATAAGTCACGTGAGGCCGGAATCAGACTACGCATTGAAGATTGCGAGATCGAAGATTGAAGATTGAAATTTGACCAATGAGGGCAAAGGAATTTTAGCTCCTATTGTTTTGATTGGTCAAATTTCAATCTTTTAATCTTCAATCTCAATCTTTAATGCCTAGTCTGATTCCGGCCTAATAGACATTGACGAATATCAAGCGTCAATTTTGATCACATGATCTATTTTGACGCTGAAAATGAGCGTCGACCGTCAGCATGAAAAGATACCTTTATGGATTGGAATTGACTATCAAATCGAATATAAGAAGAATATTTAACTGATTGGTCAATTCTCTTACAACTACAATCGCTTACGGCTTACGTAGTAGCGTTGCTGGCGCACTCTCCAAACGCGACGTATATATCTCAATCCTTCATCAAAACCAATCAAAACTTACTGATCATTCGTGCGGAATTCTCGTGCAAAATCAGAGATGAACGTTCTTTTATAAAACTTCGAATTTTGCACAACTGTTTTCGCACAAGTAGAATTCATCTATTAAGTGTTAACGATTTGCACAATTGTTCATACAAGTGAATTCATTTATTAGCATTAACGATCAGTTCGAACAAATCTCGATTCTGTCTCGTTCTTTTATTATTCCGTTAATACTTAGTTTTTAGCGGGACTCTTTTCTTATATCAGGGAATGTAAATTTACAAAATTGTTATGTATAAGTAAAACAACTTTGTTCTTCTGTATCTCAAAATTGATTTTATATTACTTATATAGTACGAAGTTCATCATTTGCAATAAGGAAATAAAAGTGATTATTATGTACTAAAATTGCATTATGTCGCAACTTACGTTTATTTTGTGTGCTTGCGTAAACTTCACCATTTTACTCTGTGTCTCTGCACAAATTTATGAATCGACTAATGACAACAACAATAGCAATTATTATTTGCCAGCTTATGCTATTGCTGCAGCATCTTCGGGCCTTCTGAATTTGACGTTATGTGAAAAGGAATTACTAAATTTCCGAGATGCTGTCGATCAACGAATACTCTGGAGTTTAAGAGGTATGAAAAATTCTTAATTATAATCATAAATATTTAAAACAAAGTACTTAAATTTTAAAATCCAAAAAGTTAATTGAAAAATAATCAGTCATACGTTTTGAATTTTTTAATTTCTAATTGTCCAATCGTTTCAATCTGATATTATAAATTAATAGAAACTGAAATTGAATCAATATTATTCTTTAAACTGATATTATATTTGCGGCTATTGTTCACTTACTACTGCATCAGATCGTGATGTTAGAAGCGAAAAAATGTACAATAACAATATTTTGAAAATATATTAAAATGAAAATATATTTTAATAAAACAACACTTATAATCGATAGAATCGCATGTAAAATATATCGAAAACTTGTCTTTAGTTTTGTTAACTAAATAATCATGTATTATGAATAACAACAAGAAATATCTTTTACAAGAAATAACAGAATAGTAACAGATCTAAAAAATTGTTTTTTAAAATCAGTCTATCAGAAACATTGGATGATTAACTAATAATTAATACGAAATACTATTTAAGATTTTTTTCTAATCTTTGTAAATGATTGTCTATCTGTATTTTTAAGTGTTGGATTCTAGCGGTGAATTTCAATCTGGTTTTCTATATGGAAATAATTATTGGCTGGGCAGTCGTAGTCAGTGTTTCGATACGATGAATACTGCTTCTCTACAGATTTCAAAGCGGCATTTATTAAATAACACGCTGTATCGTGATCCACAAAAGGAGATTCCACCTTTTAAAGTGAATTACTTCATTGCCCATTTTAAACATAATAGTACTCTTCAGTACCATGTTAATCTAGCTAACGAAGTAAGTTTATATTTTAACGTAATAATTTAATAGATAACTGAAATTATATACGAAGTTTAATATAAAATTATTTATGTTAAGAATATAAAATGAAGAATATATTTAGATATATAGAAACCGAATTGATAAGACTCTAAAATGCAGTTAACGCACGCAATTAATTTAAAAATGGAACAATGCGTAATTTACATGTCTTTTAATTACATGATTTCGTTATGTAACTTTGTAACGTGATTTTTTTTCAATAAAGACTTATTATTTTGTACAAGAAAATATCTCTTTCTAAACAAACAGCGATTTATAAGTTAAAAAAACATATCTAAAGAAAACAATTTTAGACTCAAAATTTCATGATTTCATATCTCCGGTTATATTAATCGCTGACAGCTCTCCATAGTCGTATTTTTTTTTTCATAAAGTCTACTTTAAATAATGTCTTATACACTTTCCTCGTTCGAGACATCGGAAATGTTTGCGGAGACAAAATATAAAAAACTGACATTTTCAAGAGATTTCTCACTTTTGTTACTAAAATTTAAACTGCTGTATCTCCGAAACTATTTGCCGCACAGACCTTCGCCTCATCTCAAATTATTTGTACGAAAATAGAGAAAAAAAAGTATTATACGACTTTTACTAATTTTTACATTATAGTTTCGTATATATAGTACAAAAAGTGAAAAATGATAAAGTCTAAAGTGACTGGCCTAATTTCGCATAGAGAACGATAGAATTATATTGAAGGCTTGATAGAAAACAATAGAATAAGAATGGAGTAGTGTCTGATTGATTCGCATATATATTCGTTTATCATGATATTATGAATTCCGTGTTAAACGGAAAGAAATTTTTCATAAAGAATGATATATGTATAAGTCCTGATATTTTTTTGTTATAAGAAACGATATGTTATTATTATTTATTACATTTTCATAACATTATTCAATACTGCTGCGTTCAGCAGAGAAAACTAAACAATTAGCGCTTAGCGATTCTTTAATATGATTGGTTCTTGCCTTTAGTTCTTCGCTGGATCTAATTGTAAGTATAGGAATCAATTATATTAAAGAATCACTAAGCGGTAACTGATTAGTTTTCTTTGTTGAACACAGCCAATGTTTCGTAAAAACGTTTATTAGTTTTAATTTGTAAGGTATTTTTTTTTATTTCAGGATGTAATGACACTTGGCCTCTGTTTACCGTCATCATGTTCTGAAAATGACATAAGTTTTATTCTAGAAAAAATATTCCGTGATAGAATTCTTCTAATTAGTGATCTTTATTCTGCGGACTTTAAATTGATTCAGGTTAAAAATCTAAAGGATAATTATGAATGGCTCACTAGTGGTGCTATACCTTTCATTTGGTAATTTTAAAATACACAATTAATAATATAAATAAAATAATACGTATTTTTCCCATATACCACGCATGTACACGCATCATACATTATAAAAAATAAGTTTTTATTCAAAAGTAATTAAATCTGCAGAAACATTAGAGAGATACCTTGCGTGTTCATATTTATTAATTTTATATTTACAGCGTTATTTTACTGCTTTCTATTTTTATGGTAACAATTGGAACAATATATGATATATTCATAAATCGGAAATATTCAAATAAGAAGAGTAAGATTAATAATAGTAAGTATCATAATATTTCAAATCTTTTTTTTATTATAATCTCGTTTTTTAGAGTAGTTTATGGTAATTACAGTGTGCAGGTAGTCAAAGAAGAAGCGTCTCCGATCTTTTTTTGTTACTAAGTTTAGTCATTCATTCATTTATTATTATTCGCACGAAAATTCTCAGTCAAGATTTTTGATAATTTACTAAAACATCGTAATTTCTATGTATATTAATTCTCTATTAAAAATATTAATTAAAAATATTGAATTGTGATTTAGATGGGAAAACTTTAATTCAGGAAATAGAAATCGAAACGGCTTCGTCTTTAAAGAAAAGTAGAATTGGAAAAATATTATTATGCTTTTCTGTTGTTACAAATACAAAAGTAATATTTAATACGAAATTACATGCCGATACACTACCTGTTATTCATGGTTTAAAATTTCTAAGTATGTGTTGGTTAATATTGGGTCATACAACAATTTACATGGTAGACCATATTGGTAAGTAATTTGAAAGTAATATGTAGAAAATTAATATGTTGTTCGATTCTTGTTCACTATATATAACGAAGATTGTTTTCGATACGCAGATAATAAAGTATGGAGTTGGAAATTCATGACTAATGCAATTTTTATCAATTCACCTATACCAGTCGAAACTTTCTTTTTTTTAAGCGGACTTTTGGTGACCTATTTTTATATAAAAGATAAAATGGATAAAGATCGAAATCAACTATTTACTTACAGAGCAAAGATAAATGAATTCTTCGTTCTTGTAATAAAAAGATATATTCGGTACGTTTTTTATTATATTGATAACAAAAAAGATCCTAATAAATATGATAAAGTAGTATTACGATAATAAATAGAATGAAAAATGTGGCAAAGACAATTTCTAAAAATCAATAATAATATATATAATTAAAGTCGTATTTAACAAGAAGTTAACAATGTTTTTTTATGCATATTTAAAATATCATTTTTAGACTGACTCCGACTTACATAGCGGTATTAGCAATAGCACAATTATACTCGACTTGGTTTGACAAGACCTCGCTATTTTTCATAAGCGAAAGACCGCACGAAACCTGTTCAAAGTATTGGTGGAGGAATCTTCTCTACATAAATAATCTGTTCAGTTTTAAAACAATGGTATAAATACATTTGGTTTAGCTCAAAAACAAAATTAAGCTCGAAAACACGTATAAAATCTTTAAATTCTTTTTTCTTTTAAAGTGCATGAGTTGGACTTGGTATATATCTGCTGATATGCAATTCTTCGTGATCGGAATAGCACTATTAATTTTGTCGACAGCGTAAGTTATTTTATAGTCATATAACAATATATATATATATATCTTTGAATTAAATATTAATTATAAATTTCAGATACTTTTATACGGTTGCGTTTATGTTGGGTGCACTTTTAATAAGCTCGATTGTTCTCGCTGGTTATTCTTCATACGTTTATGAATTTGTTCCGACGTAAGTTTTATTGAAATTGTTTATAAAGGATTAATTAAAAGAACATTCTTCTTGTTATTATAGGTTGGATGAACAGTATAGGTTGTTAGGTGAATTATATTTCCCACCATGGATAAGAATGAGTCCATATATTGTTGGAATAATTACAGGTTATATTTTAACACAACTAAATGGAAAATTGATTTTGAAAAAGGTAAAGTTTAATTTATAGTTTTATATCTCATTTATATATATATATAAATTCAATATATTAAAAAGTTAAATTACTTTCAAAATAACAACAATCAATATACTAATTGATTATTTATATAAATTATAATGTTATGCGTAAAGAAAATACTATATTTACGTAGTCTAGTTCTAAATTAATTATATTATATTATAATTTAATTTATTTCGTCACACATTCTAATTTAATTTAACGCAAATTTTAGAGAACTGTAATTTTATGTTGGTGCTTTGGTAGTGCTTGCAACTTTATCACGTTATTTAGCCTTTACGACCGAACGAAAACATCCATTCTAGCTAGCGCTATTTACATGTCATTGTATAGAGTCCTTTGGGCTGTAGGTATGGCGTGGATTGTAATAGCGTGTCTTACTCGGCATGGTGGTTAGTAATATTGTTTAATAATATTATAATTAATCTTTATATTACATCTGCACAAATAAATTCATGGCCATCATCATATTCAATTTAATTTTATTTTTAATTTACGCTTAAATAAGTTCTTATTTTCAAACACATTATGGAATGCCAATTTTAGTTACAATACCAAAGAAATAACAGGCTTGCGAATAAATGTTTACTTTAAGATTTCGGACTGACGATCTCATAATCTGATTAAATTGAATATTTACAATTTTATAGAAGAAAAAGGAGGCGAATATAAATCTTAACTTAAAAAAAGTTAATAAGTTAAAAAGTTAATATATTTAAAATAACTAATAATTATAGTTAACAATAAACTCATTTGAAAATAACTAAGTTAAGTTACAAATTATATTAGCTCATTTAAATTTATTATTTAACTTCTATACTTTTAACAGTTTTAACTAGCTATTTTTCAATTCTAGTCATGACAAATAGTGGCATAATACATATAAGATATAAAATACCATACAATCCCATTTTTTAATAATATTATAATTTTGTAATTTATAAAAGTATGTTAAATCAATCATCTAATATTTGACTATTACAGGCATCATTTATCAATTCTTATCATTCAAAGGTTGGGCTCCTTTTAGCAGACTATCATATGGCGCTTATCTTTTAAATCCTATTATCATACGCTGGTTTCGTCTGCAGAGTGAAAAATCTATTCATTTTGAATTCCTATCCGTGGTAAGCAAACGAATATTTAAAAGTCTGAAAAGCATAATTTGTTATTGTCATAACTTTTTATTTTCAGATAACTTTGTCTATAGCAAATTTTGTAATGATTTATATCTGTTCTTATGTACTATCCTTAATAGTTGAAGCACCGTATATCTTGCTAATGCGAAAAATCATACAAACTCGTAGTAGAAGAAAAAGTAAATGGCGTAATAATGAGAAATTGTAATTTTGCATACAAAATTGTAATGGATCTATTGTAACACATTGCAAATGATATAAAATGATATCTAGTGATTATAATCGCTCATCTGGAGATTACGTCCTATATATAATAATAAAATTTATTTTTATAAACAACACATATTCATAGAAATTTATATTCTCAGTTTCGATAAAGCTTTTTTTTATTTAAGAAACTTAAATTAAAAAATTTAACTAATATAAATAATCGATAATTATATACATATATAGAAGGAACATATTCAATGTATAGATTTTCATGTGCCTTGTGCAAAGTTTTGTTTTTAGGATACTTATAAATTTTGTACTAGGAAGAAAAAATAATAAATACTTACAACGTATAAAAATTGTTTATAAATAATGTTGATATATGTATACCCAAATCCTCATACTAAACTTACTAACTCAACTTACTAATTCAACACATTCTACCAGAGAATCACCCGAAACAACCCCTATATATAGATCGCGACATCACGAGATTTATTCTTATAAAAATCAATCATTTAATTAAATCATTCAGTTTGAGTATTCGATTCACATTATTTCAAACCAGTTGTTTCAACTCTTGACTCAGTTGCCTCAACAATCAGCTCATAAATCTAACTCAATCAGTTCTTTCGGTCATCCAAGTTGTTAAGACTGTATAAGGGCCACTGTCATATATAAGGGCCATTTGTCATTTTGTTTGCTTTAAACAAAATGACAAATGCGATTGGTCAATTCCGATGGACTAACTGGCCAGTTAAGTTAACTGAGCTTGGTGACAGTTAATGGCCCTAAGTGTGTGATTTTAAAATCAAATGAGAGATCCAAATGGAGGACCAAAACGCCAACATTCAAAAGATCGCAAGAAGCTGCGTTCATCAAGCAAACAGTAAATCCCTTGTTCATTTTATTATTTGTTGCAAGAATTAAATTAACCCATTCTAACATTCGTACTGTGTTTGAATTACGTGTTAATTTTGGGACAAATTTCTTATTGGTTCTTTCTACATTCAGTCGCCATTATGTGCAGTGGCACGCCTGATATTCGTATTATACACTCAAAGGCTGCGTTTCGTTTAAGGCGTCGTCTATAATATGCGAAGTTAAGCTTGGTTTAAAAAGTAAGAGTAAGAAATTCACCAATCACAGTCAATTGTGAAAAGAATAATCGACTGTGATTGGTCAATTTCTTACTCTTACTTCTTAAACCAAGCTTACTACGTGTATTGTAGACGGGCCATTACGCATAATACATCATTTATCCTTGTTTAATGGCGAATAACAAGGATAAAAGATGCATCATGCGCATCATGCATGAAACGGAACGCAGCCTAGTCTAGTCAGTTGACCCCTTTTACATCGTTAAATCGATTAGTACGCGTATTAAATTGTGCAGATTAAATATTTGATACGTCCTTATTTACATCGATCTGCCTCAGAATGGGTCAGGGTGCCGTCATATGCGGCGTAACCTGCGTAAGGCCGGAATCAGACTACGCATTGAAGATCGAGATTGAAGATTGAAAATTAAAATTTGACCAGTGAGGACAAAGGAATTTTAGCTCCTATTGTTTTGATTGGTCAAATTTCAATCTTTCAATCTTCAATCTCAATATTCAATGCGTAGTCTGATTCCGGCTTAGGGTGAAGTCCCATCAGGCATGTTTGCCGCGTATCGCGTAAGCGCATAACCAATCAATAATCAGTAAAACGCGAAACTATAACAGCAGATCGCTTCTGATTGGTTACGCGGTTATGCGATAAGCGATAAATACACCTCATGGGACTCCACCCTTAAGCGTAACCTGCGTATTCTAGTAATTTACTAGAATACATTATTTTTTATTTACTAGAATACGCCATTCAGGGGTGCGTTCCAAAATCAACCTTGGTCAACCTCGTTGGTTGGAGGTTTGGAGGGGGATATAATTAACTAAGGTAGCAGTTATTTTGGAACGGTCTTGGATAGTGTGGGATGATAGGGAAGGATTCCGTTCGTAAGTGACCGATTCAAGTGGAGAGCTCAATTTTTCAGCTTTTCACGTAGGAAGCTAGCGATCGGTTTGTGGTGAGTCCCTTCTAAGAGACGATGTTTTTTAACTTTTTAATTTTGAGGTCAGGAAATATGTCACATCGACTTAATGTAGTACACGTATTTTAGTCGGTATTTATTGAGAATCGTTATCTTACCTCCGATTTTAATGAAATTAATTGAAATCGTTCACAGAAGTTTACAACTTTCTACGCGAAACGCGGGATCGGAGGAGGAGGAAAACAAGCATCGTGTGCGGCAGGCTTTACCGCGCGGCAAAATGCCGCGTCCAGTGTGCAGGAACCATTACTATCCCCTTCTTTAACGTCGCTACATGTGATACTGGCCGTATCGTGGTGCGCCTGCCCGCGGGAGCCATTAATGAGGAAGAAGAAGAAGTATAGAAGTCCATGGAATTGAGCTTTTCGTCGTACTTAGCAAATTGTGATTTAGTTGTAGAACGCGAGAAATAATTATACTATAAAAACGTGATATTTATTTAACATGTCGATCGATCATAGTGGCAAAGGTTACACTCCTCTTCCACAGAGTCTAAGCAATACTGATACCGAAGATGAGGAAGAACATTTGACTCAACCTAATGATAATGCTTACAAAGTTGATAACACTACGACAGCGGTAAAAGAATATATTCTGTATGATTTTAATTAATACATGTAACACGTATTATAGAAATGCGCATATTATTACAATTATATCTTTTTGTGTGAACATTTTTTATAAAACATTTTGGATAGTTATACCAGTTTATAGTCTCTGCAGCTAAAAAAATCGATAGAATTGAGCTTATTCGACGCGTTTTTGCATAAAACAAAAGAGTCTGACAGAAAAAAGTGTCTGCCCCACGAATCGAAATATTAATCGTTAAAGTTGATGATTATTCAGGTTAGAAAATTTGTCAGCGAGAACATGTAAGTGAGGTTAGAACTAATATTTTCTGCTTTAATTATACAAGTTCTCTGTTTTTAAAATAAACTATTTTCTTATTTAATTTTTGTTTTTACAACAGAATTTATTTTTAAAGCAGAGAATTTGTGTTTTTAAAGCAGATAAAATTGCTATGAAACATGAAAATTGACTGTAGCGCTTATCGCAGTGTTGCGTAGCTGTGACAAATTTTCTAACCTATGCGTTTGAACAACTAAACTCTCATTGGCCCTTTAATTTAGTTTTGATTATATTATATTTTCAAGATTGAGTCCTTTTTAATTATTGTTTAAATAGATGATACTGTCAATATTTACAAATATTATATTCAAATTTGTATTTAATACCTTATTCTTTTTTTGTTTAGGAATTACGTTCAAATCATGAAAATGGCACATTTCATCCACTGGATGGAACACAAACTTTAGAAAACAATACGAGAAACAGACAAAACATAATCAAATATTATCGAGATGATATACCAATAATGGTAATTGAAGGTAGTGAGCCATATGATGTTTGGAAAAGAAGAGATATGTCGCCAATGAGGCGCTTCTGTTTATTTATGTCTATATTATTATGCATTATTACGATAATTATTTTTTTATATGTATTACCTTGTGATAGTTCGATGATTTGTTCACCAATTATTGAACCACATTCTTCTATATCATGGGACAAAACATTGCAAGATGTAGGTGAGTTTATTATTGTCAGCTACATTTTGCTGTTATATTTTTATTTCTATTTCCGTTAGATATTAATAGTTATTTAATTAAATATAAAACTTTTTTATGAAATAATACAAGTATACAACAAGTAAGAAATCAATCAATAGCTACGTTTACACCGTGCATTTAGTCCGCGGCCTATACAATAGACGTCCTTGTTTATCCTGTATATTAAATAAAGACACCTATCATATAGGTCGCGGACTAAGCACACGGTGTAAACGTAGCCAGTAATCTTAATTTTACTCTTAACAATCAAGGTGATAAAAGTTAAGATCATTCATTGATACACATGCGGACTCATACACTAACTCACTCACTCACTCATCCACATAATTTTAATATATTAATTTTTAAAATCTTTGTTAAATATAGAAATATATGGGCCTATTACTGTAATACCCGGATCTCCATACAATCTAATATTTCTTCTTCATGGTGAACAATATAAAAAAAATGGTACAAGCGATGGAGTGACTCGTCAGCGACAGATACCTCCAGAAGGAGGAGGAGTTATATCCATGCAAGGAAATAATGGATTACCGTTATGGCTGGTTCCATTAAAACGATTGCCTACTATTATAGATTGTACTAGTATTGATATTGATCAATCTGGAAAACCAGACTGCATTGTTGCTGGTGAACGAGGCCTACTCATTAGCATAGAACCGATTGCTGGAACAATTCATTGGAGTGCTACAGCTCGCACAGTCCCTAAATTACCAGTTATTATACCAGACATTGATGGCGATAATATTGAAGATTTATTAAGTATAGCAGTAGATAATGCAAACATATCATCTCTTGTTCTTTTATCTGGCAAGACTGGTCAATTATTGGAACGTTATTCAATTAATAATTGTGTTCCCATTGATATATATAATCTTGTTCTTAATGGCAATATATCCTATCATTGTTATGATGACAATGCAAAATGTACGTTATTATTTAAATATTTCTTTGTTTCAGTTTTTATTTATATTATTATTAAGAAGTATTTACTTGTTGCAGATGTTACAAGATTTGTGTCTTTAAAAGAATTATTCCACAAATTAAAAACACAAGTACATAAGAAACTTGCAGAATCTGCAGTATTGCCACGATTATTCGAAATCATAAAACCATATGAAAATGAATATAGTTGGAGGCCTACTCCTTATCATCATTTGACTATAGAAAACGAAGGAGTATGTCCAGGACAATTTTGCCGTACCAATATAAATCTAACTTTGCAAAGATTACCAAATGAACCAATAGTTCTATGGGATCATGTGAGTTCGAATACATTTGCATCGAAACCAGTGTTTTTTGTGACTTTGAATAAACTTTACACTTCTGGATTTGCCATTAAATTCTGGCAGTGGATGGATTTACCATCAGAACATACAGAGAAAACAACTATAACAGAACAAACACTTGTAGAAAGAGTTCTTATAGTTTTTGTGAATTATACTGATATTCAAGCTATTAATGCTAGTCAATGTGATGTAATACAATTGTGTCATAAACTTGACTGTCAACCAAATTTAAATTCGCGAAAACAGTTTACTTCCATTGAAGTTAAGTACATCAATAACAATGAATTTCCAGAACTGATAAGTTACTGGTCTTCATACAACACGAATTCAATGAAAACATTAATATCGAAAATACAAGTAATAAAAATGGATTCCATAATATCTAATTTGATACATGGAAATGTTTAGTTTTATTGTAAAATTGTATCTTGTATTCAACATGTGATTATATTCGCATTACTTAATGATGATTTGATCGTCAATCATTTCAGATAAAATGTCTTTTACAAACAAATTTTACGAATTGCTTCCTTAATTTTTTATAATACATCAATTAAATTTTTTATTAATCTTTTTTATATTACATCAATGAATTATTTTCATATATTTGGTTATATTTTATTATTTATTAATTATTCATTTCTGTGTTTCTTGAATAGTGCCTTGAATTAAGCCATTACTATAAAAAAATTTTATGTTTTAAACAAATATATTTTTTGGAAATTCAAGAAACATTTTATTAAAAAATATCAGTAATTTAATAATTTTTTAAATAACTTTAACATTATCTTATAAAATTTAAATCAAGCATAAATAGTTACGATATAAAACATTTTCTGTGTATGCATTACATGTTATTATGAATTGTGTTAATTTTAAATTTTTAATTGATCTGAAGTCTCTAGTCATAATGTATTATCTTAATTCTCTGACCTTTAAATTCAGTATTATTGACTAATAATAACATATAAGTCAATTATTTAATATTTCAAAACGTACTGATTGAATTTACAAGAAATCTATTACAAACTGGAATTTAATTAATTATAAAACAATTATGTATGCATGATATTTGTATATATCTATAATATATCTAATGTAGTATAATGTATCAAATGAATTATACTAGTAAATTATAATTATCAATTTAGTATAGTTATGAATTTAGATAGAGCTTCTATTTCCTTGCTGCAACTATATTACATTATACAGATTGCGTTATACAGAGTATCCGTACAACGCTTAAATGTAGATTCTCGAGATTATTTTGAGACTAAAATCTTAATACTTTAATATCAAAATATTGAGGCTATAAGTTTTTAAATTATAAGTATTTAATGTTAGCGAATATCGCTTAAGTTCGCGCGTTTAGCTGTGCTTGACATTTTACATTATGTACCACATCTGAACATGCGAACTTTCAGGTGATAGCTCTATACAATTTTTTTTCATAACATTGTAAGAGTCCTTAAGACAAATTCAATGCACTCTTAAGAGTGTCACTTTTGTTGATGTTTTCTTGATTTTATATACATAAATGCATAATATGTATCATAAATATTCATTAATAAAGAAAGACTGTATAACTTATGTGAACAAATTTCATTGATTTTTAACTTAATTATGTAAGCAAATGTTCAAATTGCTCGCCTCCTTTTGCAACATGAAGTTCTGCTCTTTTTAACAAATTATTATGTTATTGATAACATTGATTCAAAGTTGCTTGTAATTATTTTTCTCTTAAATATTATTAGTATTTGATACACTCCGGGCGACTCCGAGTGAAGACAGACGACGCTGGGCGACTCCGGGCGACGATTAAATATAGCTTTTTCCGTCTATATTGAATGAAAATTTGTTTAATGTTGTTCAGAGTCATAATCTTGACATCATATATCATGATCAGGGTCTTTGGAGATTGTTCCTCTTATTTTTATTCTAAGTGTAAAAATTAAAATGAAAAAAACAACCTCTAATGGCTTTGACTTTGACATATGACGTCAAGATTATAATCCTGAACAACATTTAAGTTTTTAATTATCAGTTGGATATCTTAGATAATGCTAATGCTGATGGTAATGTAGCTTTCAAGTCTCATAATTCAAAAGTACTTAAAAAAAATATTTTGTTATAGTAATTTTAAATTAAGAAGCGCCATAACGGTCAGAACGTTAAGATGTTGAACTATTGTAAATTCATTTAAATGAATTAATTCTGAGAAATGATAATTGCGTGCCGATATGGTTGTCGGACTTTCAACGCAATCAAATCTGAAAATATTAATAATCCCCCCAAATTCCCCAACTTAAAAACTGTAATAAAACTTATTGCGAAAAATAATGCCTCGGCCGGGAGTCGAACCCGAATCTCTTGCATTCCGTGCGAGTATTGCGTTGAAAATCCGACAACCATATCGGCACGCAATTATCATTTCTCAGAATTAATTCATTTAAATGAATTTACAATAGTTCAACATCTTATAACGTTCTGACCGTTATGGCGCTTCTTAATTTAAAATTATTATGTTTAACATTAGCGGTCTTTCAATCTTATTATTGTTTTGTTATAGTGTTTTGAAAAGATCATAAGATAAACTACAATATGCAACGAAAAACGAGTTTTCTATTTTAAAAAATCGTGATCTTGACCTTAATCACCCAAGGTCAAACTGGTAAGATCAGTAAATAAATTTTTTAATCCTATAACTTTTGTCTGAAACATGTTTTTCATAATTTGTTCTTGAAATATTCGACTTTTGATCCACCTTGAATGTATATGTACACATACACGCGCGCGCGTCCATATTTTTATTAATAAATACTGTATATATTTGAATTATACACAGATATACAAATTGAGTTTTTTATTTATCATAAAAAATTATTTATGAAAATGTTAAAAGTAACTTTCCATAGTAATAAACAAGATTATGATACACTCCATGTGATCTTATAAATATATCTTATTAATAACGATATTATTATTACTAATTAAATTATGCAATATTGAAAGATTGCTATTATGATGCATACACACATGCCATACATCTTCGCATACGCTAAGCATGCATACAAGTATATTCACACAAAACTATTATCTTCATTAATTATATAAGCGATTAAAAAAATATATTAGTTTATACATAATAGACTTTTAAATTGCTTTAAGAATCTCAATTATTATTAAAATTACTAAAATTTATTTAACAAGGATAATATTATTTTTATATGATTTTTCCGAAATATGTAAAATATTTTTGAAACAGACAAATCTCAAATAGATGATGTTAGATAACATCAAATAGTGATGTTAGATAACATTTAGTTCAGTCTTCCATATCATATTCGATTTGATTTGCAAAATATATTTCACCTTTAATATATAATTTAGAAAAAAAATAAATTCTCTACAATTTCGATATAACTATATAAATATGTTTAATATATTGTGGAATTATGCGATGAACGAGATTATTTTAGAATACTTGTTAGTAGAATACTAACTTGCTATTGTGCATTAAATTCTATCTCTATATTTATAACCTGTCGACATAAAGGAAATTGTTTTCTTTGGTTGCTTAAAAAGATGAATTTGGCTTTTGTTATTGGCCTGTGTTCTGACTATTTTTGTTACGACTGCGCAGCAATGATGTATCCGAAAGAGAGTAAGTTCCAGGTTCAAATACTGGTGGATATTCTAAACCAGGATAATCAGGTGGTGGAGATGTTGGTGGCGGTATGTATGGTAATACTGCAGGTACCAAGTTCTTTCCAGAATTTAGAAAGCCTTTATAGTTGGATGAATATCCACTATCGTACTAAAAAAAAAAATTGTTAAATTATTTGGTGAATATTTTTCACTAGTAATTGTTGTCAATATAAATTTAAAATATTAAAGAATTATTTTTTAAAAAAGATAAAAACAGCATTAAATGCATATGTTGTATAACATAATTAATGCGTAAATAATTAATGTATAAGTTTGTGAGTGTGGTTGCACAATATACATATCATTTATTAAAGAGGAAAAAATAATATAATTTCGTACTTTTAACTAAATTTTGTCATATTCTTTTTCAATATATTTTTTGCATTTGATATTATTTATCATTTCTTTTGCGTTGCTCTCATTACTTTCAATCAATCATGTAAGAAGTTTATGCATTAAATACGAAAGTAGATTTAATTATACGCACTTTTGACTTGATAGAAGATGTTATTGCATCCGGATCACTGACCGAATTGACTGAACACAAGGTTTGAATAAATATCTGAGAAGGATTGTTGTTGTTGAAAGAACTGTGAGACTGATTGATCTCATCGCCAGAGTTTGGACTATCAGAACAAGTAGATAGTGGATGTTGCGATTGATTAGAGCAATACTTATCCCGAAATAGCGCTTTATACCGCGGCGAATTAGTTTCTAGAATTCAAAATTATTTGTTACTAAAACACATTACATATATTATATTCAATAAATTAATAACTAAAAGTTACCTGATATGGTTTTCTGGGCATTTTTAGGAATTTCCAAGGTACAGGGTTTTTGCTGTTTCGTACCGAATAAAACTTTCAGGCGACTCGCTTTCTGTACATGATCGTTCTTATCTAAATGCATCTCGAATGCGGCACGCATTTCTTCCTGCTCGAAAGGTGATGTCGGTATTGGTGGTGGTTGATACTGTGCAACATTCTTCAGACGGTTTTTATCATAGCTTGAACTTTTCTTGTCGTTATATTTCAGTGATTCCAACCAGTGTTTGTCGAAAGAACTGTTGTCATAACGATTAACAAAATTAAAACTTCCCTTCCGATTAATTGATACATCTTTCTTTACATATTGCTGTGTCTCAGACGATGTATGACTCGTGAGGTCATTACTAGATCCAGAATATCCTGCACAAAATAAATTTAATTAAAGACAATTTCATAAATTTAATTAGTAAGACTATTTAGATACTAATTTTTTCGAGATATTAAGATTATTGTCACTTTTAATAAGTTTTTGTATATGAAATCCTTTATCATACCAATATTTCTCGGCGAAAAATCGTGCATTTTGTTGCTTTCATAATTGGGAGATTGTCTATGCTTGTTAAGCTCATAGTCTGCACTCTGATTTGGAGAATTCTGCTTTTTTGGATTTATCATGTTTTCCGAATGAAATAAATCATCATGTCTCAGTTTTTGAGTATTTACAAGTTCCTGCACTCTTCTCTTCTGCGCATAACTTGACGAATCCCATACCTTTTTCATTCCAGTTGTCATGCATCTGCCTTGAGATTTATCATTTACGTAATTCGTTTCGCTTTCAGATCGAGTAGTAACAAAATTATCCTTGATGGATTGGCAAGGCGTGTGTACATGTGCATTTTTGTTTTTCGAGTGAACATGCGTAATATTGTTGTTCGGTATTTCATCGCTGGCCTTGCTATAAATATTGCTAATATCATTCAAGGATGTGTCACTTAATTGTCTAATTTCGTCATTGTACGTCGTCCTATCATTCAAATTTCTATGATGTACATGAACGTGATCCTTGAGCAAAGGCGTCGCACGCGCAGACATCGATCTGTTTATCATAGTACGTCGTTGCTCATCTTGTTGTGATGTCATGAATTCTTCTTGCGTGATAAAACCTTGCAGGTTGTCTGATTTTCTATCAACAGATTACATGTAGTAATGTTGTTAGATATTGGATTTATACAGAATATTTTTGCGATATAGAAAATATATAAGATAAAAAATACCTGTCTATAGCATGCCGATAATCATTCATGTCTGGGTTCGACATATCTGCAGCATTTTGAGAAGTGGTCGAGCCATAGAATGTACTACCAGCAATCGTCATTTGTAAATCGGGAGAATTTGAATTACAATCCTCTTTTCTGTGAAACATTCGAAAATATTTAACCCCTTAAAAACACAGGATAAGAAATTCTGCACATTTCTTTGTTGTTAGTTTTGGATTAAATTAAGAATGCGATTTTTTTCGTTAAAAAGTAGCAAAGGTTTTTTCCCATTATATTAATGGATATTGAATTCATTAAATGAACATTAAAAGGATCCTGCATTAATCATAAAGATAAAGAAAAGGTAACTTGGGTTAAATTTATTCTTGTTGGTCGCGGATAGCATAGAGATGATGATAAGTTGCCTTCAAGTTGCCCTCGTTAGAATTAGAATTCCATTTAAATTCAATGCGACAGACATAACGCTGCCTCCCTTTGTTCTGAGTTTGACGAAATTAGTTGTTATAACAATTTTCGACAACATGTCAGCAAACTCACTGTATTTGGTTATCTGGATTAGTTACAAAAAAAAAAGATAACACCATTACTTCCATTTTCTGCTGACGACCTATCATTTTATTTTTGGACAACTAATTTTACGACGTGCAACTACTATTAACTATGCACTTCCATTTGACAGCAATTTACCAATATTTTAAAAATGTAATTTTATAGTTAACTTGACACATATAATTAGTAATTACTATTTAACAGTTATCCTGAGGACTCGAAACGAAGGATCGAAAAGTTTACATTTTTTTCTTCATTCATATTTTTACACAATAAATTTTATGTACACACACACACACACACACGCGCGCGCGCGCACGCACGCACGTTCATCCAGTGTGGCTGGACTCATATTTGCATTATTTTATTTAATTCGTTAGAGCTTAAAATATTTTATCTCATACATATTAAGATTCAGAAAAATATGTTAAAAATATTTGTGCAACAAAAAAAAAAAGGTTTACATATGGTATGTCGATTTACAATATTCTTGATATACGCACTTGTTTGGTGTCGACGTAGGAAGCACTCGTCTATAACTTCTAAATTGGGCCGTTGGAACAGGCATATTTTGATTTCTAGCACTAAGAAATTTCAAATATTTTCGATCCAAGCTCGCACCACCGGTTTCATAATCTTTAAACGATCCGTCTTTTCGTGCAGACTTTTTCAGAGAACCAAACAATTTCTCCGGATTTGCTTTGTCAGATTGATGTGTACATTTCAATTTACTCTTGTGACTTTCGCTATCGCTCTCATCGGTTTCGCTAAAAAGCTCAACGCTTTGGTCTTGAGTGTCCGTTCCTAAAGTGCCTTTATTAACTGCGTCCAGCCACAGAATCAAATTGTCATCGGTATCAGCAGCAAAATAAAACACTGTTCCTGTGTGATATACTTTGAAGGAATATTTTCTTGATTTTACTTCGGTAGCCGGGGATACAGTAAAACCCGTTAATACAATCAAGCAGTCAGCTTTTATACTGTCCTGTAGTTTAAATCTAAACGTAAAGATATAAATCTGTATATTTTAATCAGTTGTGTGCGTATGATTTATTTATCATAATACGTATTTTATACAATTTTACCTGTACAACGATGAACACTTTAATACAAACCAGGCTTTTGCCCATGCGCCACCTGCTCCTTTACTACGATATGTCAACCATCCTTCTAAATCACTAGTACCAACGTCTCTTACGGATACATTCCTCCTCTCTAACAAGAAAATAATATATTTTCTTTGTATTGTAAGAGATTTAATTTAAGAATATATAATATATATCTTAAATAAGAAAATTAGTACTTTGTACTTACTTGCTAATAACACATTCCGTTTTCTACTGCTTCTTGGACTATTATTGGACTTATTCAAACTACTATGCAAGCCGATACTTTTAGCTACCATCATAGCTTTATTAACAACACTTTTCTCAATACTTTTATCCTTCTCTGATAATCTTGGCTTTAAATCTGATGATATTGTTTGTTTTGAGTATGTTATATCATCAGGACAATCGGCATTGTGAGAGTGATCAAACCTATAACAATCTGTTATGGATTGATCCGAGCAAACGAATTTTTCAACAAATGTTTCATACTTTTCAAAAGGACATTTTTCTTCTCTTGATTGTTTGTCGTTATTTTCATTATACAACGAAGCATCAGATAAGTTTAAACGATCAAATTTTTGATCGCTTAAACTTACAGTTCGTGATTCGCCAATACAGTCCATCGAATTTTCTGTGTAATTAAGCACATCTGAGGAATCCTTTTTATCTTGACAATCCGAATTGTTCCTAATATGATTAACACATAAACTTAAATCTACTTTTTTAAATTCTCGTTTAATGCCGAGTCTCTCTGGAACTTGAGGTTTTGGCAAATCCTCTAAAGTTTGTGGAACATTGTTTAATTTCAAATCAGTTATTGCTTGGTTCGTGTAATATTTACGAGGCGGCGGTTCTGGGGGTGTTATGTGAGATTTATTCTCAAGTTTTCGAACAGATTGAATCTTTGGTAACTCTATAAAACGGCAAGACTGTATTGTGACCTGTGCCGAAGGCAAGTCTGTAGACTTCGCTTCTTTAGTTTGTTGCTTTATATTAATCTTCGAAACGTTATGAGTAACATTCACTGAATCATCTTCAATAGACTTGTTATTATTTAGTGATACCATTGTACCGATATTATTCTCTCTTAATAGCACTGAGGAAAATCTTTTTTCAAGCAATTCTGTATAAGTACAATCAACCGTTTCTAAAATTTTATCACATTTTGGCAACGTTTGGTTTCTTTCGATGCTATTGTTGTTGCTAATAATACTAGTGTTACTACTAGTACTACTATTACTACCAGCACTACTATTACTACTATTGCTACTGCTGCTGCTACTACTATTATTATTATTACTATTACCACCACCAATATTACCATTGCTACTGCTACTGCTACTACTACTACTATTACTACTACTACTACTACTATTACTATTACTATTACTACTACTACTACTACTGCTATTATTACTGTTATTACTATTACTGTTACTATTATTACTACATTCATTTTTACTGTTAGACATTTCTGAGGTACCACAATCAGCATTCTCGTGATACTCGCATGCTGAATGTTTGAAATGAACAGTTTTGGAGTTTTTGTTTACAATTTCAGTATTTAATTTTTTGACAATGTAATTCTTATTGTTTACATCCAATATATCATATTCAAGATTTTGATTTTTCTCCTCTGTGCTATTTTCAAGATTTACGTCATTTATTGAAACGTATTCATTATCTTTATATAGATCTGTTCTTTTAGGCACTCCAAAGGCACTTATCTGTTCTTCTGTATTCTCATACGCGATCTGTTTCTCGATGTCACTAATTTTTCGAGCGACATTACCATCGTATCTTCCAGCAGATGATTCTTTATGTTTGCTGCTTGCATCCTTCAATTTTTTATTATCGTCAACGTTTTCAACAACAGTACTAATGTTAGTTTTTGTTAAATTATTATTTGGTTTATTGATTAAGCAATGGTCAAATAAGTCTAATTTCTCAATGTCTGATAAATCATATGCAGAGGTAGTATAATCTTTATCTAATTTATCACGCTTTTCAACGTGTCGCATGCCGATTTCTTTATTATTCCGCTTGTTTTCATTAATACTACATGTATCACTAATAGAATTATTATATTCACTTAAAGGCACGGTCGTATCATTTAAATTATTGCTATCAATGACATTATCTCTGAATGCTTGCAAATGTTCTATATTAATATCTTTATTTACAATATTTGCACCAACATCACAGTTTTGTATAGGAGTAATCTTTTCTTTTGTATTAACTGGATGCATGCTTTTAATATCAGTCAATTTTTCCTCAAATTGCACTTTTTTATTCGTTTGCTCATTAGTATTGTTCTTCTTTTTCGCCGATTCTAATCCTAAACACGTTTGAGGCCGTATATTTACCATTGGTACATTATCCAAACCATGGGCGCAAGATGCTGCTTTATCACGCAATTGAACAGCCGCATTGTGCTCTAATTTCAACTCCTTCCAAAACCGTTCGAGATTAATACCATGTTTGGACGTAGGACTGGCACCGGTTATTGTAGCTCGCCTTTGGACTAAGTTTCTTCGTTTAGCATAAAGTGGCGTTTCTGCTTCGCTATCAGAATCGCTACTATCTGTAGTCATTGTATCCAACATTTTAACTGCATCTAAAATGCTCGTTGGCTCTGCACCGGATTTCTTTGGTATATGTCTACATAACAAAAGACATTTTTGTTACATATGAAAATAAAAATTTTGTAATTAATTTTAAAATAGAAAATGTGATATGTGTCTATATTAAAGGATAAGGTGTGTATTAAGTATGGGCGATATTTTAAATATCAATATTTTTGAACTTTTTTCAATATTTTGTCTTTCGATATTTGACTATCGATATTTGAACAAGAATATCGAATTTCGAGGTGCGTTCCATTTTATGCTTACAGTACTTGTAAGCATCATTTGTTATTTAATATTTGAAAAAAGAACACATAAGGATGAATTTACGTTTACAGCGTGTGAGCGTGAAAACGAAATGCTCCACGGTTCATAATTATGTATAAGCGCGTATTAGTTTAGTACGGATTAAGATTGGATTGAAACTTTTATTATTTATCGTAGGTACTCATTATTGTAAGAACGTATAAGATTAAAATCATACAAGTAAATAAAATAAAAATAAAATGTGTAAATGTATATATAATATATGTGTATTTTTTTTCCAATGGTACTACACATATATGCAATATTTATTTTAAATTCTAATCAGAATAGTTATTCAAAGGATCGATGAAATAATCGCAAAATAATCTCCAACCGTTATTTTTGCAAAAAGATCAATTTTTTGGGCATCAATACGCATATCAATATACATATCGATGCGCGTATCGTTTAAAAATAGAAATATCGGATTCATATTGATATCAGCAATATATCGCACATTATCCATATTGTGATACAAAATATCGTGATTTTTTTTCTGTAACACCCTTGTATGTGTGTGTGTGTGTGTGTTTGTGTGTGTGTGTGTGTGTGTGTGTGTGTGTGTGTGTGTGTGTGTGTGTGTGTGTGTGTGTGTCAGAAATGGCGCGCGCGATACATTTACGTGGTAGGTGTCCTAACATTTACGACTTAAAATATATAGCAAGAAAGTTTTAAAAAAATTAAATAAAAAAATATATATTTTTATTTTAAGCAACAATTTCTGAGAGAATGAGAGTTTAAATATAGTCAGTTACAATCTACGTTTACTTTTCAATTTGGCACACAATAGTTTTTCTTCTTTACACCAATTGATTCATCACCTCATTCTGTGCATAAAAATATAAAGATATAAAAAAATGAATAGTTTATGAAATATTTCATATTTCATGTCAAAATGTGTCAGAATAAAATAGACAGGTGATCATATTATGAGAGCCATAGTTCGAAAAACGTGGTTTTTGAATTTGTGTAAAAATAAAATCAGTATATTAAGGTTTGTATACATAATGATTTTTAATGGACAGCATTAAAATGCACTAAAAAGGTAATCTTAGCTTATGTGCACAATTATTAGAGATGCACCGGATATCCGGGAAACGCCCGGTATCCGGCACGTTTTTATTATCCGGCCAGATAGTCGGATATCAGTAGTATCCGGTAATATATCCTGGTTAAAATTTTATATTGATAGTTTGCGTCACTAACACAGAATTTTATTCTTTTCAGTTGAATTTCTTGCACAGTTCATCTCTCTTTTCTCTTTTTCTTTTCATGTTGAAAAGATAAAGAAAATTAACATCGTTATTTTTCCCTTGCTGTTTTTTTGGAAGCTATTTTCCAGATATCCAACAAGATGTCCGGGAAAACATCCGGCCGGATAATTACTCTATCAGATATTGGATATCCAAAAAAAATAAAATGCCGGATATCCGGTATCTGATAATTTTTCGTGCCCAAACTTCTACGCCCTAATCATTACAAATTATCAGTACCTAGAGAACAGTATAAAAGTTATTTAAGAAAAATGCTTTTTAAATCTTAATTAAAAAAATGAATATTTTAGTAATGCGTCAAAGAAAAAAGTTTTATGTAGGAACTTATAGAGCTAATTTTCATCTGCATATTCTTAAGAAATTGCTCACCTTTTCCGGAACACTTTGTATATACGCACATGTTATCAGATAAGAAAGAATATTAGCAGGACCACAAATAATAAAGATATATGTAGAAAGGTAGCTTACCTAGGTGATGGCATTGCAAAGTCAGGTATTGTTAATAATTCTGGTCTAGGGGATGGAAGACTACGTCCTTGTGTTGCATAAGAGGTATTTTTGTTACATGGAAGTTTATATGGTTTGATATAAATTTTGCCATAAACTTTAGCATGCCTTGGCCTACGTTTTATAGTCAAAAGCATTTCTGCTGGGCTTTCACGAAATAATTCAAGCAAATTTTTTCTTTCCCAAGCAATTACCGTTTGATAATTTACCTAGATTAGTAGAGATTTAGATGCATTTTAGAATTAATTTGTCAAAATTTATAATATATGAGAAGTATATAAATAAAAGACATTACTTGGACTATTTGATCACCTTCCATCATTTTGCCAGATTGATGTGCAGCAGATCCAAGTTTAATTTCAGTTATCTGGTGTACTCCATGAAAAGACGGTAAAATATAAAAACCCTAAAAGACATAATATTTCAATGTGATTAAATAAATTACATTTTGTATATATATTTGTAAAAATTATATAATTTAAAAAGAACATTTTGATTACATATATAAAGAAAATGTTATCAAGAAGCAGCAATCACAACATAATGACTTAAAAAAAATTTTTAATTATTAGACAACGTCGTCTCTAAGAGGGTAAAAATACAGTTACTTATTTTTAGAAATTTAGATTATAATTCACACAAACGTAAATATTATTAAAAATGTTTATTTAATATTATTTTTTAACAATTATGTCATTATTAAGAATGCATTTCAATATTCACAATATTGAAAATGTATAGTTCACATATACTACAGATTTTCAGTATTAGCAGTGACTATCGAAATGCAGCCTAAGATATAAAGCTTAAAACATTTTGCAATATTAAAATTTTCATTTAAATAAAATATTTCCATCCAATCAAAAATAATGCAATCTGTTGAATAGATATGAAGATAATAGAGAATTAAAGTAACAATATAAATAATGATTTAATTCATTATCGTTACTGCAAAAATATAATTACGTTACCGTTATTGTTACAAATAGAAAAAATAACGGTAATAGTAATGTATGCTATCGATTAAGCGTACATAGAACATGATCGGTTCTGCCCTTATTGAGATATGATAATCTCGGTCCCCCACAACTCGTCGGCTCGCGTAAAGTAGCCATAGCAGTGTCGCTGCGCTTGGCTTAGCGCCGAGACACTACCGTGTCTTCAGATAGTGTTATAAATAACGCGTTAAGCATGAAATACAATTGAAAAATCACAGGTAACTCTATATATAAAATTAGATCAGCATGACATATAATTAATATTTTTTGTATAATATTCTGAGAACTGGATATAATGAGATAATTGAATAATTGTTAGACTATAGAAAACCTACCAAATCATCGCTGGATTTCTTTTTTAATGTTGCTAAATCTAAACTTGCAGGCTGCAATATCATAGGATCAATGATATCTTGAATAATATAATCTGCTAACGTTGCTAATTGACTACAAGTTGTTCGAATTTCCTGAACTGGTTTTTCAGCAAATCTATCTCTTTGTGCACATGTAGCCATTTCTATCGATATTTTCATCAATTCAACTTTCTTGGCATGATATTCTATGTGTCCATTAAATGGAGGATAATCCATCCATCTCACTAAAGGTTTGACCACCATCATAATTGACGCTACATCTGACAATGTTTGAGTACTAACAGATTCTGAATTTTTTTGTCGACACATCTCCTTGTGTAAGCTGTGTGCTTGGCTCGATAGTCGCAATGCCAGCAACTGCAGATTCTCTTTATCTAGTTCATGATGGAAACTTCGAAGATATTCCACAGCATTAAGAATAATCTCTTGATGACCGAGCTTTATTACACCCAAATGTTCTAAATCTTGTGATTGTGTATTCAATAATTGTTGTCCGTTGACATCATGATTTAGAAAACTATGAATATAAGGATGTATAGTATTATCCAAACCTATGACATAAAATAATGAACTCATGATAACATTCCTGCATGACTTACTAATAGTAATTATTTACGACATCATTATTTAATATTTATGCAAACTAAGCTGCCAGGTTCACGCAGCGTCTCACTTCGTCCTCTACAACAGATTTAACTACAAATTCTTGTAGGATTTTAAAAGATACCTAGTACTTACTGTGAAAAATATTATCTCGGCCCAGTAAGACAAACCTGGATCTCTAGCATTTTGTGCGAGCGTCCTAAACCTTTAGACCATTGAGGACTTAGCAATATTCTTTATAACAACCAATATATTATTGCTAAGGCTGCAATGATCTAAAGAATGTCTTAGGATGCTCGCACCGAATGCTAGAGATCCAGGTTCGTCTCCTGGCCGAGGTAATATTTTTCGCAATAAGTTTTTTACAGATTTTAATGTATATAATTAAATTTAGGATATTATTAATATTTCAGATGGATTGTGTTGAAAATCTGATAGTAACAGCGCACAATCATATTTCTGAGATAAATTCATTTCAAGAATTCATATATGTATTAGTTTAACATCTAACTTTGATCACCAAATGGCATTTCTCATATTTAGGCAAATGTAAATAGTTTTTAAATATCTATACAGTCGATATTTTTATTCTATATTGACAAGTCTAGTCATAATATAATTTAAATTTTAAATCATAAGAAATGGGATTTGATCTCCATGCAATCATTATTGACTTATTGTTGCACACTTATTATTGACTTATTATGACACTCATAATTTCTGATTTTTGATCTGTTACTAACAGTTTATTGAAAACCCATTAATGACTTGTAGAAAGCCTTACAAGATTTAAGCAAATTTGTTGCCAATCTGTTGTCTTATTACTAGCAATTTGTTTATTAATTAATTATCATTTTATATCTATACTATGCTGCTTTGATTGTATATACACTCACATTTTTGATAATAGGAAGTGTACATAAAATGATATGTAAAAAAGATTATAAGGTGTAAAAATAGAGTGATAATGAATTTATCAAACATTTTTTTTGCTACAGATTAATATTATGTATTAAATAATTATCAGTAAAGAGTAAACTGTCAAAATACTAATACAAAGTCACCTAACATAAATTTCTAAAGTCACATTAACAATAATTATCAGTACAAGTCGTAATAATTATTAATATCATTAATGAATAGCAACATTTAATCAGTCAACGTCGGATTTTATTGGAGACGCAAAAAATCATTTAAGAATTATTCAACAAGATCAAATACGATTGAGTAGATGAATAAATAATGGTCTTTTCTATGCATTATTAATAAATTGACACAACAAATAAATCGAAGTAAACAGAAACAAAGGAATACGTATGTACAGAGAGGAAAGAATGGAACTTCATACGCAAAACTGAATAGGATTCCGACATATTTTTATGACACGACCCAATTCTCTATTTTTCCATGTCTAACTGGAGATGTACTGTCAAGCTGATTAAACATTTTCGTCGTACCTTTCAACCACTCGCACACTTGATCCGCTTTCCATTCGGCTATATTTACATATGCCATTGCAAAAGTATAGAACGATTCATGAGAGAAGAAACAAATTCTCGCGTATCTGACACTTTGTCCGCGGCTGTTCCAATTTTTACTTGATAGTTCCACAAAAGTAGGTACATAAAAATAAATTGATGGCGCGAGCAACACACGAATCAGTATGCGTTCGGAAACGCGCTGATAATAAATCAGGTTACGTTCAGAAATCGACCCGGATGCATCCAAAGTCATAAAAGCGAGTTTACATCATGCACTTGATATTCATACTAACTAGTAACTTTCTATTAAATTATTTTAATTTCAGCAATGTATTTAAAGAATGATATACCAAATTGGTACAATATGCATGAAAATTATTAATTAAATACACGTATCATGTATATGTTTAATTAGCGCTAAAATTAAAATAATTGATGGAGGAAAATTTTATCTCTCCATAATCTATTTTTCACCAATCAGCACTCGATATCAAAGCGGTTTTGTCTACACAAGGATAAAGATATATCCTACACAAATTCTCTGCTTTAAAAACACAAATTATTTTCTTATATAATTTCTATTTTTACAGCAGAGAATTTATGTTTTAAAGCAGAGAATTTTTAGGGCCATTGGGTGCGTTCAGCAGAACGTTTGTTTTGCAACTGTTGTAAGTTTCCTTCGCGCTAATTGGATCATACTTTTAGATCTAGAAGAATGGTCCTATCTCAGCAGACAATGGGCGCGTTCAAGTTGACAAAGCGGCTAGCCTGCTCGCCGAGCAAATGAACATAATTGGTTATTACTTATAGATCCAACCAATCATATTCAATCGCTCGGTAAGCATGCCTAGCTGCTTTGCTGTCTTGAACTCGCCCAATGGCTGCATTCAGCGGACTCAACAGTTGAGTGAGCGCTCGCTGTTATTGGTGTATTCTTTTAGATCATCCAATCATAATTTTAGATCTAGAAGAATACGTCAATAACAGCGAACGCTCACTCAACTGTTGAGTCCGCTGAATGAGCCCAATGGCTGCGTTCAGCAGAACGTTTGTTTTGCAACTGTTGTAAGTTTCCTTCGCGCTAATTGGATCATACTTTTAGATCTAGAAGAATGGTCCTATCTCAGCAGACAATGGGCGCGTTCAAGTTGACAAAGCGGCTAGCCTGCTCGCCGAGCAAATGAACATAATTGGTTATTACTTATAGATCCAACCAATCATATTCAATCGCTCGGTAAGCATGCCTAGCTGCTTTGCTGTCTTGAACTCGCCCAATGGCTGCATTCAGCGGACTCAACAGTTTTGCAACCGTTTTATGATTGGGCGAGTTCAAGACAGCAAAGCAGCTAGGCATGCTTACCGAGCGATTGAATATGATTGGTTGGATCTATAAGTAATAACCAATTATGTTCATTTGCTCGGCGAGCAGGCTAGCCGCTTTGTCAACTTGAACGCGCCCATTGTCACCAAGCTCAGTTTACTTAACTGGGCCAATTAATCCATCGGAATTGATCAATCTGTCAATTCTTCAAACAAAATGACAAATGCGATTGGTCAATTCCGATGGACTAACTGGCCTAGTTAGATCAACTGAGCTTGGTGACAGTGGCCCTAAAATAGATATGCAAATACCTGAAATAAGAAATACCTAAAATGCATGCGCATATGAGCATGAAGAAGATAATTGCAGGATTGCAGCGCATGCTCACATCGTAGTATTTGCGTGGCTGTAACGTACTTCCTAACCTCACAATCATCAATTTCAAAAATTAATATCTCGGTTCGCAGAGAAGAGCGACACTTTTTTCTGCCGAATTCGTTCATTTAACGAAAAAACCGCGCCGAATGGTATTTTATTGATCAATTTTTATGTTTGTGTGTGCTAAACTTAAACAAGTACTTAAAATAGAAAACAAAACCAGAATAAGGCCAATCACTGGTGACGTCGACAGGAAAATAACTAGGCATTCTTACGAAGTACGAATGTTCAACGTGTCATTCCAACATGTACAAAAATTCCGGGAAAGGTATATACCTTCAATAATGATTATTTTGCAAGCTTTCAACTACTTTAGTTTATGCATTATCGTAATAATTATCGTAGCTTTTAACGGTTTTTCGCTAGATCCTTACAACGATCTTAATTTTTCAATTTGCTTACCAAAACTTACACAGTTAATTGTCACAGTACTAATGTCAATACGACGTGTGTATATTGAATATAATGTGGATTTACATGTACAAAGTAGATTTTATTTTAATTATTTTATCTTAATGTATGTTACGGACCGAAAGTAACATTCTGTATTATAAAACATATGTGCCGTATGTATATTGCGAACTACTCTTTACTGTCTCATTGATTTATTTTTTCTTCTGCCAATAATATATCATATCGTTTTTATCACTTTTATTTACATTCTTAACAATTACCTTTATATCTTGATGGTAATTAATATTTCACATGTGAATGTATTATACATTTTCTTTCTTTTCATGATTTTGGAATCAAAATTGATTGTTTCGTAAGAGAGAGAAGAAAAGTAATGAAATATTTTTAAAATAGAAGGTTGAGATATATTTTTTATAATTCTAGGAAAAATGTAGTTCGTGAAAAAATATTTCTAAGTTGTTTTAAAAAAGTTCAAAAGACGTTACCAACATGAACAAGACTTCGCAAAGTTAGTATTAATATTTATATAAATGTTATGCCTTATTCTCTGGCATACATGTAAGCACTAAAAGATATATATGTTATAGGAACTGGGCAAACATTGAAGTTTGTGAGTTTAGTTACTCTCACAGTTCAAAATGCTATGGTTGGCCTTAGCATGCGATATTCACGTACCAGAGCAGGAGACATGTTTCTTTCTTCCACTGGTAAATATTATAAACTTCGTTATGTATAATACAGTCAATCTTAATATAAGATCTACAATTTAAATAGAAAATGCTTGTTTCATTCACTGATAACAATGTCATTTTTCTTTTTTAGCTGTTGTGATGGCTGAAGTAGTCAAATTGATTACCTGCCTTATACTAGTATATGTCGAAGAAGGAAACTTTGAGAAATTTTACAAAACATTACATATGACAATCGTGAAGCAACCTATCGACACTTTGAAAGTTTGTGTGCCATCCCTTCTCTACATTATTCAAAACAATTTACTTTATGTTTCTGCATCCAATTTAGATGCAGCTACATATCAGGTAAGACATATTGCTAAATGTTTTGTTTATTTTTAAAAGATATAGGAGAATAACAATATGAATTAATAAATATTTATTAATATGTGAATAACCCTTTGGTAATTCACATATTAAAAAGTCGTTATCTCCACTTGAAATTTTTTTGGCGAGAGTGAAAAACTTTTTCTCATTCAAGCTAACATAAGAAATATAATTTCTATTTATTGAAGTACCCTTGAATAGTTTTGCAGCTGGAGAAAGGATTTAGTTGATTTTGGAATTGAAGTATCCATCACTTATTTTTTTTCATATATACAAAAACAGTTAATATTAAACAGAATTTTTATGATTTTGAAGGATTTTTACTATCATTTTAATATTAAAAAGTTACACATTACAAAACACACAACATATAGTTGTTTATTGAAAAAATGTTTTTTTTATTTTTTATATCAAATTCAAATAAAAATAAAATATTGAATAGAAAAAATATTGACGAAAAAAAAAGAAATTTATAAATAAATAATTAAAAATTAAAAAATGAATAAATCTAGGCTAGTTAGATAGTATTTAACTTTTTCTGCAACTTGACTTACTTTTTCTCGATTTTGTAGCATTTATAACTGTTTTATAGGATTTGTAACATTTTTAAAACGTTCAATTTGTAACTAAGAAACAAAAGAAATTCAGGAATTTCAAAGTATCTAACATTTTATTTGTGGATATAGTTTTTATACTTTTACATATCAGTTACTTTTGTGTATATACGTGCGTATGTGTCGTGTGTGCGCGCATGTGTAGTAAAGTTTATAATATATTTGAAATAAATATTTTCAGGTTACGTATCAGTTGAAAATTTTGACGACAGCCTTCTTCGCAGTGACGATATTACGTAGATCTTTACACACTACCCAGTGGGGTGCTCTTGTACTCTTGGTTATTGGAGTGGTTCTAGTACAATTGGCACAAACTGTAAAAACACAGTTACCTTCGGGTATTGAACAAAACCATTGGTTGGGTTTTTCTGCCGCTTTAAGCGCGTGTTTTCTCTCCGGCTTTGCAGGAATTTATTTCGAGAAGATTCTCAAGGGCTCCGACATTTCTGTGTGGATGCGAAACGTGCAATTGAGTGTGTTATCTATACCGTTCGGCCTAAGCACATGTTTTCTACAAGACAGTAGTATCATACGCAAGCAGGGCTTCTTTTTCGGTTATGATTTGTTTATTTGCTACCTAGTGGTCCTGCAAGCAGGTGGTGGACTGATTGTAGCTATGGTAGTCAAATACGCCGATAACATATTGAAAGGATTTGCTACATCTTTAGCTATCATAATTTCTTGTATAGCTTCTGTTTATCTATTTGACTTTCACTTGTCGTTCCAGTTTACTCTGGGTGCACTCCTTGTCATCTGTTCGATTTTCCTTTATAGCCATCAACCGAAAACTGCATCCCTCGATAAACATACATCTGCTGAGAAAGTCTGATAATGGCGAAAACATAAGAGTATTTTTAACGAGGTAATACTTTATTTAATAAGTCTTAAATTCTTATTAACAGTTAATATTAAATTGACGATACATGGACTTTTAAATACTTATCAAGGGTAGAAGCAATTTAAATACGTTAATTAAAATAATTAATGCATTTAAATAGAACAAAAAAGATTATATTTATAGATTTAGTAAATGCTATTTTTGAAAAAAAAAACGGTGCAATCAATCGTAAGCATTCTGTCTTAAAAAAGAATGAGAGATTATTACGTCGTATATGTATATGAAAGTCACGAGTGCAATCATGTTTTTATATCCAATTTTGATTCTGAATTATGATAGTCAAGATGAAAAAGTTAAGAATGACAAACAAAACATATATAGAGACATTGAAATGGAATTATGCATTATAATCGTTTTACCTATTTGTTATGAACACAATGACACTATATATATATATATATACTCATATTTATTTTTATATATCTTCCAGTTCAATTGAAATGTATTGACATAGGCCAGTAGTTATATTCACACTGTGTACTTAATTTAAATAGACTTTAATAAATACAGTTTTTATGAAAATTTTCCTATGCTCAATAATATCATTTTTTTTTCCAGAAAATAAACTTCCAACTTTTAAAATATTTGTCAAATATGAAATAAACGAAACTATGTTTGTATGAAAATTAAGTTTAAACATGATGCTACCAAGTTTTACGTCATATTCTAAAAAAGAAATTTATAATATTTTATCTTAGCCTCTATAATTATTTCATACTTTATGGTTGCATAGTTAAATCAAATTTTTTAATTAACTCGTCGCGTTAATGTGCTTGTATAGATTATTTATTTTTGTGTTCATACAAATCAGTTATAATTAACAGTTTCAGTTGCCGTTTAAATTATCTCGCACAAAATTCTGGATTTAAAAATCGCTTTATATTACGCGCGCATTCATAAATTTTATTTTCGCGCGGTTGGCCAACCTACTATCGAGGTTCAGCCGATATTTCATTGGACAGGTTTCTTTTTTCGAACGTGCTGATTGAGTGTCGGGAATACGAATCTCGAATTTCCGAAAATTCTCTATCTAACAGCCAATCGCCGCGTTCAATGGATCTGTCGTACATACGATACGATGAGATATCACTGATATCAGTGCTTACGGAGCATTTGCGTGAGTGAGACATCAAAATTTTGCATCTCTACTGATCTCTACGCGTACGCATAAATACCTACGGCGACCATGAGCGAGCCTCAGTCAAAGAAAACGAAGACCATGAGTTCGTTAAGCCAGCTGAAGGACCTCACTACGGTAGTCGCCGATACCGGCGATTTTCAAGGTAACAAATTCGAATTCGGTTAGTAACGACGGCAGATCCATGATACGTCAGCGCGAAGGGGTCGGGAAGGGGGGAGATCTCGCAACACTTGCACTTCTTTCGAACGCGTCTCAGGCCGGAATCAGACTAGGCGTTAAAGATTCAGATTGAAGATTGAAATTTGACCAATCAAAACAATAGGAGCTAAAATTCCTTTGCCCCCTCATTGGTCAAATTTCAATCTTCGATCTTCGATCTCAATCTTCAATGCGTAGTCTGATTCTGGCCTCACGTGACCTCTTCGAATCTTAACAAGTCTGTTTTTTGTTCTTGCACTACACAACCAACCAAGGCCCAGTTTCACAATTCACGGTTAACTCTCAACCGAGGTTCAACTTGTTTCTCATCTCTTTCTAGAATTGGAAAGAGACAATGAATAAGTTGAACTTCGGTTAAGAGTTAACCGTGAGTTGTGGAACTGAGCCTAAAACTTTCTTTCTCGCCAAATATCGAACATGTATTATATTATTCCACATTAATAAGTTCTAAAGTGTACCGTATACTAGTTCAGCTAGCAGACCGTATAAATGATTATAAGTACTTTTGAGATATATGATCATGCTTATTTTAAAATCGTTGTTTTATTATACGTTTTTTATTATACGTTTTATTATACGGTTTGCAATTTTTTTTTTCCCGTTGTCTAACTTGAGTATTAGTTGTTATCTTAAAACTTGTGTCACTTTTTAGATGCCCTATATATAAGGAGCGAGACACTCGATATCTTGAAAAGAAATCATTAATTTTAGAAAAAAGTGTTCTAGACGAAAATTTTATTATCTGAAAGTAAACAAATAGGGCGAGATTTTTAATTCATCGATTGATCAATCGTATTATGCGCAAGTACAGCTTTTACGGAACAAAATTACATTTGCGCACAGTGCGATTGATCAATCGATGATTTAAAAAACTCGCCCGTAATGATAAAATTAAAGAAAAAATTGAGAAAATTGATTTTTCAAAGTTACAAAAGTCATTGCTATTTTTTTTAATAGAATTGTATGATTTTTTTGTACCAGAATAAAAGTACTTTTGGAACTTAAAGTGGAATAGGTATATGTTCGATATTTGATGAAAAAGAAAGTTGCGGTACAGTCTAGGAATAAAAAATATCTCGTAAGATATTATTAATTTTTTTATATCGCTACTTTAATACTTTATATGAAGAATAACTATAAAACAATCATATTATCTAAAAGAAAAATCATATTCTATTTAAAAAAGTGGCGATGACCTTTATGTGACCTTGAAGAATCGTTTCTTTTTCGATAATTGATTTTATTACTATCTTCAAACTATATAACTTTTGGAACATTTTTTTCTAAGATGCTTTCTTTTAAAAATATTGATTGAACGATGAGATTAGACACATATAAGTGAAAAATGCTATATTCGGTCAAAGCAATTTTTCGCGCCTTATGAATACATTAACGTTATATAAGATATTCAATTATTATACATAGGGTGTTCCAAAAGTAACGATAAATCTTTCGCAGAGGGGCAGAACTGAAACTAAACTGAGAAGAAAAGTCTCTACCATTTTACAATTTTCGCAATAGTTAATAAGATATTAATTATTAAAAATTGTCTAAAATTGGTCTTTAATAATTTTTTACTCAAATACTATCAACTTTACAGAAAAACTGCAAGAGACAAAAATTGTTTATTTTCTTCTGTATATATAAAATATTCAAGTTTTTCAATTTGAATGCCTTATCCTGTATATGCACATTTTTATCAACGTGATTTAAAGTAACTCATTAATAATACATGCGTTTATATGCGGATGCGTTATCTGAAAATTAAAGTTTTTTTCGCGCCTGATCACCATGCCTTATGATGATAAACCTTGCTGGAAAGCAAGCATCGTGATGTTACAATAATTTCATTAATGGTAACACATTCTTGACTTACACGAGTTTAATTTATTTTTTCTATATTTGAAATTTTTATCGCAACTTCTCACGGATCTTCCGAAAAATCAAACGATGTTGACTAGATATGTATCCAACTGATAAAATGGTATCAGTGTACACGCGAAATATGTACCATGACCTTTGCTTGTTGTGTGTTGAACAATAACCTTTAAAGAGTAGAATATTTATCACTCTTACCCTTGATAGATACATTGAACAGAACGTTTCAACAAATTGTTCATGAATAAATAATAAACGGATATTTTAAAAATGTGTATATAAAATGATCGAAACGAAAATAATTATGAATATTGCAAACGATAAACAATATTATTAATATTATATTTTAACAATATTATGTTGTTCTCACGATAGCTATGGAGCAATTTAAGCCTACAGATGCAACGACAAATCCCTCGTTGATTCTCGCTGCCGCTAATCAAAAGAAATACGCTCATTTAATTGAAAAAGCCGCGGCGTATGGCAAAAAATCTGGATCGTAAGTATACATATTTATTATGATATGATTAACTTGTCGTTAAACTATCAGCCTTCGTGCAACGTTATTACAATATATTATTTAAATATAGGCTTAATATATTAATAATTGTGCATGATACTTTAAGGCAGGACATTCGCGAATTGAAAAAAGTCAGAATTTCTTGAATTTAAAACTATACATTGTACTAGAAGACAATTAATACACTTGTACAATTACAATGAGATTGACCATTTCAATACTGAGATAATTGAAAGCATGCACTTTTTATATGTGTCACTTATATAAAGTTTATGAAAATGTCGCGTTTATTTTTGAAGGATTAAATATAACTTTAAACAGTGATATGTTAATAAAAAAACGAGTATGCGATGGAAAAACATGAAACGGATATCGCGAAAAAATATCATAATTTTACCGTTTAATTTGGAAAATAGAGCCATGAAAATAATAGTTTTCGTAAATATTTGTCAATCCGTCATGTGAATCGAAAGAAGATAACAATGACTGCGTTTACACGATTCGATTTATGCCGAAGACATAACATTGATGTTACGAAATTGGCCAATCACAGTCATTCCATTCTTCAAAAGCATAGCTATGATTGACTAGTTCCGTAACATCGATGTTATAACTTCGGCGTAAATCGGGCGGTGTAAATGTCAATGAGCTGCGTTAATTTGTATTTATTTTTTCCGATCATGGACAGCCGCAACCAAAAGTTTTCTCTCACTGGTGGAAGTGAGAGTATCGTTACCGATCGCGCGATGGGATCTAATTTTTGATTGTTAACGTGAAGATTTTCTTTTCCAGTACTTTGGCCGAGCAAGTTGAAGCAGCCCTTGGTATCACGTGTGTTTTGTTTGGCAAAGAGATTTTAAATATAATTCCTGGAAGAGTTTCCACAGAAGTAGACGCCAGATTGTCCTTCAACAAGGAAGCCAGTATCGAAAGAGCGAAAAGATTAATCGCTCTGTATGAAGGGCTTGGAGTGAGCAAAGAACGCATCTTAATTAAGCTTGCATCGACTTGGGAAGGCATCCAAGCGGCGAAGTAGATAAGACACCAAATTTAAAAAAATTATCTTATATTCAATTAATGAACATATAATTAATAATAGTTAATAATTAATAACTTTTTTTAGAGAATTGGAGGAAAAGTATGGAATCCATTGCAATCTAACATTGTTGTTTTCTTTTGCCCAAGCCGTTGCTTGCGCAGAGGCTGGAGTTACTCTTATTTCGCCATTTGTTGGTCGAATCTTGGACTGGTAAG